GCGTCGGTATCTGTCTGTCACGAAATTCCCGAAAATCTGAATAAACTTTTGAAAAGGTCGGGCATAGGGCAAGATCAACAGACAGAGTACCTATCAGCTCAAACTAGCTCCTCTCATAATAAGCGAGATATGCACTGAGGTAGGCGATTCCAAAAGCAGAACTTCTTGTTTTTTTTTTTAATTTCTGAAGGCATAAACATTGAGTAAAATGGCGAAGATTGTGGATGAGTCATCAAATCAGAGGAAAGAGGCCCATTTACAGTGGGCGTAGGGTCCTCATAGTAAGCGGCATTCTTTAAATAAATTCATAAATCGCTTCCGCGAAATACTGGAGGGGAAAACATTGTTGGCAATTTGTGGTCGTTACGTTTACGGTCACAAAATATAGTCACACTGTTTAGATCCTTGTCCTTGGTGAACTCCCATATACAAGACCTTTATAGGTGAGGTCAACCGGCCCTATTGACCCCATCACTCATCAACCTGTTAAAGGACGTAAAAAAGGTGGCGGTATTCGATTCGGAGAGATGGAACGGGATGCTATCATTGCTCATGGAACGGCTTTCGTTTTGCAGGTTTACATATTTACTTTCTTGTTACCGCGACCAGTACATAAAAACGTGAGGTTTCAAATTACACCATTTTTAGGATCGATTGCTGAACTGCTCAGATCGCGACGTCGCATATGCATGTCGCCGTTGTGGATCTATTTTGTCAGTACTCATGGATACTAAAACTAAAGCTGCAGCTTTAAAATCTCGAAAGGTGTGTCTATACTTTTACCTTTCAAACTGCAGATAGTTTCAGGTTCTGTGTTTTTATTGCTTGTTGTTCTGAAAATTTCTTCACCATTTTTGAGCAGTCCATTTTCAACTTCCATCGAAAGTCCAGGTGATGCCGGAAAGTGTAGGCGTGCGACTTTTGGGATGGTAAAACCTACCCGAACGGCGTGCAGCGCTGTAAAGGGAAAGATTTGAATTTCCATTTGTGAGGTACAGTAACCGCCGTGGAACCATTTGTTTTGGAACGAGTAACCATGGGCTGAATCAACCCTGGGGTTTCAACCCCTTCTCATTAAATTTTCAGTTGAACAGACTTTTTATTGATACATTCACATTCTATAATTCAAGTCAAAGTAAAGTTTTTCGCAGTCCAAAGGAGTTTTTCAACTCTCACTTGCCTTTTCTGCAAAATGCAACTAAAGTTTAAAATAATATTCAGGGTCTAGTCAGGAAAAGGTGCTTAAGGGCACAGTTTACGATAATTTTGGGTCATCCAGATTATGAGGAAAAATGGAAGGTAAGATCGGAAACAATGCAATGAAGGCGAAGAAACTGCGTGAATGGCTGCTCCCATAGTCCGCCGGCCGGACGGCTGGCTGACGTAAAACGAATTGGTCGTGTAAGAAATCTAGAAGGTTGTTGCATGTTATTTCACGGTCAGATTCTTTACGGTCGGGTGTGACCGAACAAATGAACAGTAGGATATCATCGCCTCATTATTACGCTATCAGCTGATCGCGTGTGAGTCCTGGTGCGAGAATTTGCTATCTGTATGTCTCGACACTCGTCTGAAACGACATCGATCGAGCGGCGAGAAAACCCCGCCCGAGCCAGCAACAGGGAATTATCGTGAACTGTGCCTTTAAAGAATGTTTCGTGGACAGCTATAAATAGAGCTGACTGCATGCATCTCATCTGATAAGGATTATAGGCAGTGTGTATGTTTTACTGTCGTTTTCCGAGCATGTTTCAGAGTTTGAACTAAAATATTCAGGGGACATCCTCTGCAGATGATTACACTGAAAAGCAAATATGTAGGAATTGTGGAAAAGATGATCAAGTCTACCTCGTGCAGGTGAGTTCTAAATCTGATACATATGCGTGTTCAACACTGATTATTGCAGGTACCTCGTGTATTTCGGTATTTGACAGCAGAACTGGCCGCAATGAATATAAAAATCCATCTTGGAATCACAGATTTCACTAAAGTCACCAGAACGTAGTTTGACTGGTTTTGAGAGTATAGTCGGGTTCTTTATTGTAGGTGTAGTTAGTCACTTTTAATCAGAACCTTTCTAATGATGATTAAAAACATTTTTCTCTTAGCATCCCTAACTGGCGAGGCAGTTTTATTTGCTTACGCATGTAAAATTATTTGTTATTTGTTGAATTTGCTTCAGCAGCAAAGTTGGATTTGTACATGTTGTCGATCGTTGTTAAAAGTTGTTGAGTTTGTTGTTGAATAAAGATAAATTTTATTGAAAATTCGAATTGGAGGGCATTCATAAGCAATATCAGTAGCAGCCCTTGCGAAAAAAGATTTGAACCTCTGATGAGCGGTAAAACTCGGTAGGTTCGAGGGCAAAAACTAAACGAAATAGCGCTGGTCTCATGGAATCCTCTATCCTCTATATATATAAAGCGCTAACTTTGCGTGTCTGTTTGTATGCCCGTTTGTGAGCCCTCGCAAAAGTCGCGTAGGCACGATCAAGAGCATGAAGATCGCAAGAGCGCGGTGAGAAAACAGTTATGAAATGGAAAGCCAACCATTGCTTTTTAGTCGGAACGAGTTTCTAGGAAAACTAATCTTAAAAGAAGTTTAAAATATTAGTTTTGTCCGGGAATTATAATAAATCACACCATCGCAAAATGCTCCTTCTCGCGATCGCATTTCCTATTTAAGCACCCTTCCCATTCAATCTCCAC